AACTTACTTAAGCGATACAAATGGATAGCTTAAGCGATTTTCGATCTGGGCATCTGCCACAGGCTAGATCGCTTAAGCGATACCAATCGTTTAAGCGACCAGGGGTAAAAGCGAAGAATCGTTAAGCGATATAGACGGATTGCTTAATCGACCAGAGTATAAAGCAAAAACTCCTTAGCGTACCGACGGATCTCTAAACAACTGTGTAAATACAGAGGATGCTAAGTGATACTATGTATTCGGATATTATTTATTGTATTTAGAGCATCGGTTAACCGATTACGCGTATGCTAAACATATAGGGTTTGCAAGGTGTTCAATGGACTATGACCTTTATTATAGATTAAACATTAGTTTTTACGTAGTGAAACAGTAAGTGTGATGTGTTTACGTACAGCTCAAGTTATGGCAGAAATACTGAAGCACGTCCAAAGACGTTTTTCTTCAGTTCCCAGCGTACTTTTCACGACTTCAAGCCAAGTTTTCACCCTTGTCCAGTCAGAATTAGGAAACACCCAAAACATGAAAGTTGTAGCTCTTCTTCTTAGAATTCCAAAGCTTCTAAATTCAGGTCATTCTGAGTTTCCAAACTCAAGTTACACAATTTACGCTCAAAACTGTCATTTATGCTAAAAATCATCGTTTAGGCCTACAAAAACAAATTAATAGAATTAGGTAGCAATTATGGCCCAATTTGTATGAAAAGTATCCTAAATCCTATCAAAATTCAATGCAAAATCATAGTATAAAATATGCTTATCACCCTCATAAGTGCTTGGTTTTCAACCTTATCGTACAAGTCCCTCCGAAGTGATCCAGTTCCCACCTCTACAGGAACCATCGCTTCGCAGCCATAGGCTAGCGAAAAAGGGGTCTCTGAGGTGGAAGTTCTTGGAGTTGTTCTGTACGCCCATAAGACTTCGGGGAGGTCGTCAGCCCAATTTCCCTTGGCCGCCCCGAGCTTAGCTTTTAGGGTATGCTTGATGGTCTTGTTGACTGCTTCAACTTGGCCATTTGCTTGCGGTCTGGCGACTGAGGCGAATTTTTTATGGATGCCCAGCTCGTCGCAGAATTGTTTGAACTCCTCGTTATCGAATTGCTTTCCGTTGTCCAAGATGAGGGTGTGAGGAATTCCGTAGCGGCACACTATGTTTTTGAAAACGAAGTCTTTTAGCTTTTTGGTCGTGATCGTGGCCAGCGGTTTGGCTTTCACCCATTTTGTGAAATAATCTACCGCGACCACAGCATACTTGACCCCTCCCTTTCCAACTGGCATGGGACCGATAAGGTCGATCCCCCATATGGAAAATGGCCAGGGGCTAGACATTGTTATCAGCTCGTGCAAGGGGGCTCGCGGAATGTTCGCGAACAGCTGGCACTTGTCACATTTTTTGACAAAATTGTGCGTATCTTCCTGGATCCGGGGCCAATAATATCCCTGGCGAACAACTTTGCTCGCGAGAGATCGAGCGGCTGTGTGATTACCTCAGATTCCTTCGTGAATTTCCCTCATGATGTAGTCTGCTTCCTCACTGGTTACACATCAGAGGAGAGGGGCACTGAATCCTCTCCTGTACAGCTGGTCCCCGATGAGTGTGTAACGAGCAGATCTTGCTCGCAGGACCCTTGCCTCAACCTTGTCGTCTGGCAAAGTCCTATCCTTGAGGTACTGGATGATGGGAGTCATCCAGGAATCCGGTTGAGTCATGTTAACGGCCTGTTCAGTTGAGCTAATAGTTGGAGCATCCACGAAACGAACAGGAATGTTGTCTGGAGCCTCTGAGTCTAACGACGAGGCTATCTTTGCTAGAGCGTCCGCTATAGAATTGTTATCTCTGGGGATCTGAGTGATTTCGAAGTGCTTAAACGACCCTAGAGCGGTCTTGGCCTCCTTTAGATAGCGGACCATGTTCTCTTCTTTAGCTTGGTACTCCCCTAGAATTTGGTTGACGACCAGCATGGAGTCACTGCAAATGCTGATCGCGGTTGCACCCATTTCTTTGGCAAGTCGCAACCCGGCGAGCAGGGCTTCATACTCTGCCTCATTGTTGGTCGCCTTAAACTCGAACCGGAGAATACCATGAATTCGAGCCCCTTCAGGGCTTACAAGGAGAAGACCCGCACCGGCCCTTTTCCTGTTCGATGACCCGTCAACGTAGAGGTTCCAAGTTGACAGGTTCTGAATACTTTCTCGCATGACCTCGCTGGGCTGTTACTCGCTCGGGAGATAGGAAAATTCTGAGATGAAGTCTGCAACAGCTTGCCCTTTAATGGTTGATCTGGGCTTGTACTTCAGGTCAAATTGGCTCAGTTCCATGGCCCATTTGAGCAGCTTACCTGAGGCTTTTGGTTTCTGGAGGACTTGCCTGAGGGGGTAGTTAGTCATTACGTTAATTGTGTGGGCATGGAAGTAAGGTCGCAGCTTTCTGGACGCGATCAGCAGAGCAAAGGCTAGTCGCTCCATTTCTGGATACCGCCTCTCGGTATCCGATAAACGCTTGCTTGCATAATAGACTGGCCACTGCGCCTTTTCCTCTTCCCGCACTAAACCTGCACTGACCACGAACTGAGAGACGGACAGGTAGATGAGCAGGATTTCCTGTGGAAGAGGCTTAGAGAGGAGAGGTGGTTTCCCCAGGTGTTCTTTTATACTCTGGAATGCTTGTTCGCATTCGGGAGTTCACTCGAATTTCTAGTTCGCCTTCAGAACATTAAAGAATGGTAAGCAGCGGTCTATTAGCCTTGATATGAAGCGACTAAGCGTCGCTATTCTATGCCCCGCTGATTAACCATATACCCAAGGAACTTTCCCGATGACACCCCGAACGAACACTTGAGAGGGTTTAGCTTCATTCTGTAGAGTCGGAGAATGTCAAACATCTCAGCGAGATGCGTAATGTGTTCTGAGGCGACCTGGGATTTGACCAGCATATCGTCCACATAGACTTCCATTGTCTTCCCGATCTGGTCAGAGAACATTCGGTTGACCAACCTCTAATAGGTCGCGCCCGCATTCTTGAGACCGAAGGGCATAACTTTGTAACAGTATAGCCCCCGGTCCGTAATGAAAGACGTATGCTTCTCATCCGGCCCATACATCCGGCCCATAAATCAGCCCTCCTTCTAGCGCCAAACTGTTGATGCGTGATTTTAGACACCAACCAACTGACACGTGCACAACGTTGATTGATCAATAAGTACACGTGATTGAGAATAAAAAGGAAATAAATGCAATGAGAGCTTTTAAAGTGGTTCGGATGCTAAGGTAGCAAATCCTACATCCACTGATTTGTATTAATATGGTGGGTCAGGTCGCTAAAGCGGACTGACTTACAAATGATTGAAAAGTAAAAATACAGAGCCCTTTTTGAGAGAGAGAAAGAGTAGAGTAAATGTCAAAATGATCGAATCCCCTTAATGAAGGGGTCTTCTTCTTCTTATACCCAGCCGAATGCGTGTAATCATCATTAAATCCTTGGGTTGGTGTGATTGTCAGAACATAATCATGCTTTACGTCCCATTACCCACTTCCCAAGCTGATTTTACGCGATTTGGAGCAGGTAAGCGGACATGTGGGAGCTCCAGGGTGCATGGCAAGCCTGACGTGCGCTTACCATTTTGACGAGAGCAGGCCACGTCTCGTCACGTGACTCCATGTCAACCCTTTATTTCCCGAGCATAACAGAAGTCCCCTAGTTTTTAAGGTTTGAGGATCGAACTTTGGAAACTAAGTCATGCCGTGATTGGAGGTTTTGGTTGTTTCGACCTGAATGGAAAAAGCTCGGGACAGGACCTTATGCGAACACGACCTCGCGCAATTCTTTGCCCAAACGACCTGACAACCATCATTCTAACGACCTGGGTGTTAGGTAACGACCCGGTTGTGCAGCGGAAAACAAAAAATTTACAACCACGGATCGTTCCTTAGAACCCAAAATCAAGGCACAGATTTTACAGTTTATGCAAAATATAAGAATCTGCAGAAAAATAAATCCAAAGGTTTGAGAAACCATACCCACGTTGGAGGCTCCACCAATGTTGTCTCTGAANTATGTTACAAGACAAATCAAACAGAAGAAAGAAAATAAAGAAAATAAACTTTGATCTCTACTAACAAAACCAGATATTTTGAAGGGTATGTTTGTTTATGTTTTTCTTTTCAACTTTTCAATAATATTGTTAATCCAAAGCTATAATATTGTTAGATAATCCAAATCTTTAAATCAAAATGACAGCATATAATATAATATCCACGGCCACCAACAGGGCAATAAGGAAAATAGATATCATTTTGAAGGTCACAACCAAAATTACAGCATGCAAATTTTCCCGAAATCAAAACCAATAACCCATAAAGCCCTAATTCATACAAATTTCATAACCCCAAAAGCCATATTTAAATCAAATGACAACATTCCATACAGCAGCCAAGAATAAACAGATCGACAAACAAATTAAAGAAACAAATTGAAGAAGACTGAAATACCTTTTAGGATAGAGGACTGACAAAGCATGGCTGCCCATCCCAAGCTTCGATTTAAGAAAATGGCCTTGAAACTGTTTTTCATTTTTTTTTATTTAAAGAAGATGACGTGGCATAGTTAGGATTAACTAAATACGTAAAATGGGTTAAAATGAAAAGATTGAAACATATGTGGGCCAAATCAGAAATAATAAAAGTTTTTAAAATTTGAAATTTCTCAAAACAGGCCCCACTAACTATTCACCTCGCTTAATCGAAATTCATCAGGGCAAAAAGCGATTTCTTGAACCAATGGGAGACAGTGCGATTTCCGATCGAACCCGCAAATTTCCACACCATATTCAATCGTAAACTCAATTTCTTGAACCCTAAACAGAATATAGTCATGATTTCCGGTGAAAGTCACGATTTTCGATCGATTTCTTGAACCCTAAATGGAATCTGCGCGATTTTTGGCGATACAACCCACATTTCCGATCGAAACTACAAATTTTGACACCAAATTCAATCCAAAACCATGGTTGACACTCACAATGACGAGGAAAACCCAACTCCACTTCGAATCCTAGATTCTGGTGGCGCAAGCAGTTCAATGGTTGCTCCTGTGGATCATCCGATCAGTGAAGGTGGTCCACAGGCAGAGGAGACGTCGGCAGCACAAGAACAGAGGGAAGAATCGGCAAACGGTTATGAAGGCGAGGAGTCAGGTGAGAATTCAGGCCAAGAGGAGGATTCCAGCGAGAATTCAGGCTAGGAGAGTCTTCCGAGGATTCAGGCGACGAGAAGGAGGTCAGCGAGAACGAGGCGGCCGGCAAAGAAAAGGTACGTTCTGAACTGTATTGCTTAAGCGATTAACCTCTTTTACTCATGGTCGCATCATCTGCCCAGATCTAAGATCGCTTAAGCGATCCTTTATATCGCTTAAGCGATTGATTCAGTTGACTCTTGGTCGCTTAAGCGATTTCAATCTTTTCGACGCAGAATCATAGATATAAGATCACTTATGCGATCTTTTGTGTCGCTTCAGAAATTCTTTTAGTCTACTCGTGGTCGCTTAAGCGATTGCAGATCGCTTAAGCGATCTTGCACAAGGCAGAGTCAAGATATCGCTTAAGCGACCACAGTGGTAATTTTTTGCTGCTAATATTTTGTTTATTAGTTGTTTTAGTTTATTTTTGTTGCTGACATTTTATTTATATCGATTGTGCAGATTGTGCGGACCGTAAACTATACAGACTATGAGTTGGACCTTATAAGCGATAATGTGCCATACTTCCCTGCAAGGGTGATGGTAAGGTCAAGTTGGGAAGTTTTTGATAGAATACAGGACATTTTAGATGGAATTATGCATGGTAGAAGAGATTTCTGTCGCACTTGTTTCGGTAGGTTTTTAGGACTCGAAAATCATTGGAAAAAGGCATTTTGGGGGCAGGGAGTGCATTACATATTGCTACACTCAGTAAAATGCAATAAAAAAAAGAAATGTGGTTTGTGGTGGGCGGAAAGCCACTACATTTTGGCATGATGGAATATGCCCTAGTGACGGGCTTAGGATGTGGGGAAGTGCCAGATAAGAAGGCAGAGGCAGTAAGGAACAGTCGGGGAGCCAAACAGTTTTATAATAAGGTTTTGCAGGGGGATAAGTCTATTACAGCACAGGTATTAGAGAATAGGCTAGAAACAGTTGAATTTACTGATACAGAGAAGATAAAAGTGTGCTTGGTTTTGTTTTCACATTCGATCTTATTGGCTGGTGACTCAACAAAAGCTGTTGAGAAAGATTGGTTGTTGTTTGCAAGCAACTTGAAGTTCTTTAATTCTAATCCGTGGGGACTGAAATCATATGAGCGAACCATCAACAGCCTAAAAAAAGTAGACATGGCGTTAAAGCAGTCCCAATGGGAGGGGAAGGATAAACCAAGCACGTACAATTTGTTTGGCTTCCCATGGGCAATACAGGTAAATATTAATAGCTTTTTGTTATATTTTTTGTAACATATATGTTTGAATTATGATATGGACTGGTTTTTTACAATATAGGCTTGGATGTACGAGGTCATCCCTGTCTTTGCTAAGCGGGGGGGGGGGGGGGAGGGGGGAGAGGAGCAACAGTTTGGATGTGCAGCAGCAATTTCCTAGGATATTGCGGCGGCATGTCTAGAGGTACACCCATTCGGATTATGAGCAAATAGATGTTAAGATTCGAGCGGCTGGGGTAAGATTAAAGGACTAAGCTTTTGAATATGCAGTTGCTTTAAAATGTCGCTTCAATCTGATTGATTTTGTTTCTTATTGCAGGGAGTCGTCCGTCCCTTTCTCACCGCTACTGGGGCTGAAGTGGAAGAGGACTATGTCAAATCTTTCAAAGCACTAGAGGATGCAAGGGATGAACAGATAGACTGCCTGATGCGGGACCTAAAAGGGGTCACGCATGTGATGGCAGTTGTTGGGCCACTGCTTCACAACGTGGTTGATGTCGAGGATGATGAAGCTCCAATCGATCGGAGGTCCGAGGAGGAAGAAGAGAAGAGGGAGGAAGAGGTTCGTATGCCTCAGCAAACCGGTACAACAAGTACCGCTTTGTCGAGACATCGACGTCGGGAGAATGAGGTTGTTGACCTCATAAACGGCTTGTTTGAGAGTTTTACAATAGCCGTTTATGCAAGGTTTGACAAGATGGAAGAGTGCATGAAAAGGGTGGAGGAGAAAGTGGATAAGCTGGGAGAGAAAGTTGGTACAGTGGAAGAGGAAGTTGGTATAATGGAGGAGGAAGTTGGTGGAGAATTAAAGGCTGTTGAAGTGCAAACTGGCTTGAAAAGAGAGAGCCGGAAGAGCAAGTTTGTGAAATCACCTTACATGGTATTGACACAAGTAAAGAAGAAGAAAATTAAGAAATAAATGGAGGAAGAACCAGAAATTGAGAAGGTTGGTGGAGGAAGTGGGGCGGTGATAATGGAGGAGGGCGAGGTGGGAGGCGAAGGAAGCGGGGATGTAAAAATAGAGGAAGCGGGAGGGAGTGGGCAAGGGAAATTGGACTCAAATGTCGATTTGTATAGGCCAATAGAGGAAAAGAGAAAACTCTTCTATGCCTATTACAATCGATCAAGAAGTAATGGCCATATAAAGTGTAAGACAGGGGATTATCCTCGGGAATGGTTTTAGTAGTTGTTGACGATGGGCACGTGGCTTGAGGACTCGGTGAGTTATTTTTGCTTAATTTTCCTTATTTTTGCCTATGTTTTCCATACTTATCTTGTTGTTTTTATTTGATGCAGCACATCGATGAGATATTGGCACTGATGAGGCTACGACAGACTACTGATGGTGATCTGTTGTATCTCGACTGTGCCATCACTGATGTGGCGTTTGGCCAAAGGCTTGTTTCGGCATATCGTACTTTAATTAAAAATGCCGTTGCTAGTGGTGCAGCAAAAGGACCGAAGCGAAAAAGATTGGCCCCAGTACAGTTGGACTACATCCCTGATGATTTTCATTTTGATGACAGAATTATTACTACATCATCCTTGTCAAACAGATGCACTGGATAGCAATTGTTGTGCATCTAGAGGAGGGGTTGCTAAAGATCCTTGACTGCAACCCCACTATTTGTCGAGACAAGCAATTGGAGGTGGAGTTAGAGCCATTGTCCAGGTTGTTCCCGCAGTTGTTGCATGGTAGCGGGATGTTTGGGCACTTGGGTGATCAAGTACTAACCGAAAAGTGGCCAATTAAGCGCTCTACCGACCCAATAAATGAGTCAAGGTAAATTTTATATAAAACTAACTTACATAATACAATTGTTCTATAAGTTTATTCTAATGCTAATGTCTTCTTCATATTGTAGTGCTGAATGTGGGGCATATGCCCTGAAATTTATTGAGTTCGACATGACCAATAGCCCGATGGACGGGTTGAATGACGAAACAATGAGATACTATCGGGAGGGCTGGGCTGTCGACTGCTTCCATGGGCAGATGGATCCGTTTTGAGTGAGCAGAACCTAATAAAAAGGTATGAAAGTTGGACTTTGAATTTTTTAGTTTATGTGATGTTGATGTTGATACTTGGGTTGTGGTGCTAATGCTGCAGGTGTCATGCTTATATGGAGCTTTATCGAAAGAGACAGACTGAGTAAACTTCTCACCTAACCACTCTATAACTTTTTTATGTGTTTTTTTTTTTATTTACAAAAGTTGACGTGTCCGCAGGTGTGTGCCAGATAATTTTTACAGGTTCCTGGCAAACAATGAGAGGAAACTTCTCAAAGGCTGGTTGGCAAAAAGGGGCATCTGCAATAAAGGCTGCTGGGAAGGCATGGTACCAAACAATGATCTCAGACAGGTTACTCGTAAACAGAATTCGAAAACTTCTCAAAGGCTGGTTGGCAGGAGGAGGCATCTGTAATAAAGGGATTGTGCAAAGGTGTTAGTGACATTAAACTCTTTGGCATCAAAAAGTAAATTAAAGGTATTGTATAGGAAATTGTAAAGAATTTATTATGTATGGTGTGATCATTGTCAAGAATTGGATCTGACATTTGGGAGATATTTTTGTTTGTCCATATAAGATATCTCATTAGCAGTTTGAATTTACTATGTATGGTGTGATCATTTGCTGCACCCAAGTTGGATAATGGTTTTTTAGCGTTTTGTTTCATTTTGTGTATCACTACAACGTGTGATGTACTGGTGTGATTATTTGATTCACCACAATTGGGGGTAATGGTTAGCTTGTCCAAATATTTCGATATTTGCCGCATCCCATGCCTATTTTTTATTTTGTGTTTCGATAAACAGGTTACATTGATGTCTCTTATATTTTGATTTGTGATGAATTAGATTGATATAAATTACTTAATTTTGCGATACAAATTCTTTTCGGATTTGGGAGGGAAATAAGTGATGTACAAATGTTTCCCAATCACAGTCATTTCGAAATTAATTAACTTAAAGACAGGCATGGTACCAAACAATTACGTATATGACCAACCACATATATCTCTTAAACGACCAAGACTTTTCCAAAAATGATCGCTTAAGCGATCTCAAATTGCTTAAGTGACCAAGAGTCTATTATGAAGCATCGCTTAAGCGATACATATGATCGCTTAAGCGATTACCCATCTGGGCAGATGTTCATTCTGCCTCGAAAAATATCGCTTAAGTGATCCCAAATCGCTTAAGTGACAGAGACTCGTTTAGGAAGAATCGCTTAAGCGATCATAGATCTGGGCAGATATTCATTCTGTCTCGGATAAAATCGCTTAAGCGACCAAGAGTATTTTAAAAAATCGCTTTAAGTGATATAAATGGATTGCTTAAACGATCATAGATCTGGGCAAATTCATTCTGCCTTAGCCAAGATCGCTTAAGCGATTAAGGGTCTTTTACGAAACTTACTTAAGCGATACAAATGGATAGCTTAAGCGATTTTCGATCTGGGCATCTGCCACAGGCTAGATCGCTTAAGCGATTACCAATCGTTTAAGCGACCAGGAGTAAAAGCGAAGAATCGCTTAAGCGATATAGACGGATTGCTTAATCGACCAGAGTAAAAGCAAAAAATCCCTTAAGCGATACAGACGGATCTCTTAACCAACTGTGTAAATACAGAGGATCGCTTAAGTGATACTATGTATTCGGATATTATTTATTGTATTTTAGAGCATCGGTTAACCGATTAACGCTATGCTAAACATATAGGGTTT